GCACGTCCAATCAGAGCACAGGAGTGAGCACGTGGGCGGGAAGCACAGAAAGAGAGAGAGAGAGAGAGAGAGAGAGAGAGAGAGAGAGAGAGAGAGAGAGAGAGAGAGAGAGAGAGAGAGAGAGAGAGAGAGAGAGAGAGAGAGAGAGAGAGAGAGAGAGAGAGAGAGAGAGAGAGAGAGAGAGAGAGAGAGAGAGAGAGAGAGAGAGAGAGAGAGAGAGAGAGAGAGAGGGAAGAAGAAGAAACGGACAGCTGATGGAAAGCGTGCTGGCAGTACGGGAGCGCGCAATGCCCTGCGCGTTCTCATGGTCGTAAAATTAATTAATACATACAAATTTTATTAAAAAAATAAAATAACAATAATAAAACATTATTAAAGATGCATTATATTTACACATTTGCATAATTTAACCCAGTAAAGCCTGACATATGAAATAAAAGTCCAAAAACGGTGTATTTTTAAATGAACTTATAAACCTTTTTTGTTGTGTATCATATACAGCAAAAAACGAGTACCGCCACCTGAAGGGAGACTTTAGAATTATACTAAAAGGCCTTTTACTTGCTAAAAAATATAAACTTTTGAACATTTTGTCAATTTAGAGGCCTTAGAAATTTGTGTATCAAATATGATACAGTAGGCTTTATAGGGTTAAATAATGACAATTACCATTATAAGATAATCACAATAAAATCAATAATAAATGGCATGGACCATTCAATGTATGCACTATAGTATACAGTACCATGATGAATATGTTCTATGTCTCTGTGGTAGCAAGTGCTGTTTTCTATGAAGTGGTGTGTTGAAGAATCAGCATTAAGATGCCAATAGAATAGAGAAAATTCAGAGGAAGGCAGGGTCTGTCCTGGAGACTAAACTACTCACAGAGGGTGGTGACCGAGGGGAGGATGCTGTCAGTCCAGACTCCAGCAGTGTCCAAACATTTAAACATTATGGATATCCCCTCGCAGTACAATAAGAGCACCTTCTCCTTTACACTTATCATGCCCTGGTGTACAACTGAGACACGGACAATCCTCTCTGCCCACTTAGTCTGTAGGCTACAACTCCCTATAGTGTGAATCATATATTGCCACTTCCCTATATCGCGGTTTATTTATTTATTTTGTTTGTTAGTGTGTGTGTGTGTGTGTGTGTGTGTGTGTGTGTGTGATTATAGGCTACATTATACTGTATTATGTGTACAGGCTACTTTAAATGACATAATGTGGAGATTAATAAAGCAATCAAAGTAACAAAGATATAAACTTTTAACTGTTAAACAGTTAAAGACTAGGTTTATACAATGGCGACACCTGGTGGCCAATCATCATAATTCTACTTGTATTTTGCATTCTATAATTGAAATAGAATTGTATTCGGCCTATTTAACCGCATTCATGCTCGCAACGTTTGATATTGAATTAAATATGGTCGTTTATGCTACTGCATATTCGCGTATTTAGTGGTTTTCTCAAATTATAGATGCTGCTCAATCCAGCTCTATATTGTGAATGTGATGCTGACCCTTTTCCTGTATTCTTACACTAAAACACAACACTATTGTAATGCCATGATCTTTTGGACAGATGCCATAACAGCCTGCACTCTATTCTTTGAAAAACCTTGGGGATACTATGGTAATATGGTAATCATTCAGCAGACGCTCAGGAAAAAGAAGAAAACAATTCTCAGAAGAAAAAGAAACCGGAAAGAGACAAGAAAGAACTTAAAATAGACGTCTTATTTGTAGCAAATGTATTTCAGCCAGCTAGTAGACAAAAATAACATGGATGCAGATAGGCTAACTATAACATTATATGATCAAATATATTGTAAAATGTTCCTCTATTGTGTGTTGCTGCTCTGAAGATGTATCCTGTCAATGTACAAGTAAGAAAGATAAGAAAACAATTTCAACTACATACTTTATTTGGTAAGTAGCCTTTATGAGCAGTATAACTAGGCCTACAGTTAGTCTGTCATTGTCACAAAACAAACTTCGGTATAATGCAAGATCTCTGTGTAATTTGTCCAGGGTTAACACTGCGGCTCCTTTTCTTAAAGTCACCATGAAATCAAAATGGACAATTTTTTAATGGAATATTGCTGTTTATTATAAATGATCAGTGCACATTACATTGTTATTATTTTAATTTTAATTCATGTGCCCCTTTTAATCTTTACTCAGACAAACTTCCCCTCCCACTTGCAACAACATCTCTTTGCCTTGTCAACACTAATACGTTTTCGTTTAAAGGGATACTCCACTTTTTTTGGAAATAGGCTCATTTTACAACTCCCTTTTACTGAGTTTTACTGTTTTTGAATCCATTCAGCCAATCTCCGGTTCTGGCGGTACCACTTTTAGCATAGCTTAGCATACATTGAAGTGGACAAGACCATTAGCATTTCTCAAAAAAAAAAAAGATTTAAAAAGCAATTTTAAATTTTCCTATTTAAAACTTGACTCTTTTGTAGTTACATCGTGCACTAAGACCGATGGAAAATGTAAAGTTGCGATTTTCTAGGCTGATATGGCTAGGAACTATACTCTCATTCCTGCGTAATAATCAAGAAACTTTACTGCCGTACCATGAGTGCAGCAGGCGTAATGATATGACGCAGCGCCTGAAAATAGTTCCCAGCTCGGTAACTTCCAACGTGACAGGGACTAAGTTTGTCATATCATTGCGCCTGCTGCACTCCGACCAAGACAGACAGAGAGAACTAAATACAGACACTAATGAACACTAACGAGGTGAGGACAGGTCACACAGATGGCGATGAACAGGTGTGGAGACACAAGAAATTCTGGGAAGTGAAGTGAAGACGAAGACAGGATGGTGCAGACGACGACTGTGACATTACTCCCCCTCCTGGAAGGCGTGACCTCACGCCGTGGAACCACAGGGGTGGAGGGGCTGATTAGGGCGTGGCAGGAAGCCTCCAGGGCGGAGCTGGCAGATCAGGGGAACAGGGTTGGAGCAGGATGAGCAGGGGGCCATGGCGGAGACGCCCCTTCGGGCGGCCATGGCGGTGAAGACCCTTCTGTGCTGGACGGGACCAGCGGTGAAGGCTCGGCAGGGCTGGGCACAGGCTCGGAAAAAAGGTCAATTAAGTCCTTATCGTCCGGTTTCTGGACGAGGACAGAAACAGGAGACACTGGACAGGCGGTCTCGGTGGAATGAGACTCAGGACGGGTGGTGACGGAGGCTGGTGACAGTGGTTGAGCGGCGATGTTAAAATCAGCCTCACCCACAGTGCAGGCTGAGCCGCTCAACAAAAGCACGTAGTCCAGATAACGAGCGAACGTCCCTAGGATCGCTGCTGCTGGAGCTTGCTGGTGCAGATGATCGTCCAACCCGTACCAAAACAGTCTTTTGGACGTCATCTACCCAGCTTACCCCATCCTAGAGCTCCAGGAACTCTGCGACATATTGCTCTATGTGACGGCCGTCCTGGAAACAGGTCAGAAGACCGTCGGTGGAATTGGCAGAGGTGATGAGTATGCCCATCTTGTCCCGTTGTTTGGTCGGTTCTTCTGTCAGGGGAGGTGTATGCAGAGGAAGACGAGAAGTCGAATTTCCAATAACAATAAACTTTACTTACAATAATAAACTCACAGGGTACAAACAGACAGAAGATAAACACTCTGGTGATAACAACTCATAACATAGACACCTTACATAAACGAGAACCGACCAAGACAGACTTAACAGAGAGAACTAAATACAGACACTAATGAACACTAACGAGGTGAGGACAGATGATGATGACGATAAACAGGTGGGTAATGAGGGAGTGAGTTCAGGTGTGGAGACACAAGGGATTCTGGGAAGTCAAGTGAAGACGAAGACAGGATGGTGCAGACGACGACTGTAACACCTTGTAAGGCGCTTTGGATAAAAGTGTCTTCCAAATGCATAAATGTAAATGACTGAGTGCGACCTCGACGCATCAGTGAATGGTGAGATATTTTTCTATATAAAATTATCCTGTCAGAAGAATTGCGCGATAACTTTATTATTTATTTTTCCTACTGTATCATCTCAGTGAGCTTTTGTGAGGTTTTACGCATAAGGTGAATTGAAAGTTTTCAGGCGTTTTCCAAAAGTTTCTCATCCACACTGAAATGTCGGAAAACGCCTGAAAACGCTAGTGTGGACAGAGAGCGTTTTTAAACGAAAACGCCGTTATCAAATGTATCCGGATTAATGTAGACGTAGCTTCTGATGACTTGTTCACCGACGAGACATATCACATGAGATCACAGCACTAGCAAACGAAAACAATCCGATGATCCAATCAATTCCTTATAGACAAAATCAAGTCCCACCCTATATTTTTTCTTGTTCAAGAAGCCATTTCATTTGGATATAGGTCATAGGGAAGAAAAGACTATCGCAACTTCGGTTTCATGTAGACTTTAATTTTACTTGTAATGAGGGGTGGTGTATTAATCCTGGTTCAGTCGCTAGAGGGCGTCAAATCCACACAGTTGCATTTCTGATGATCTCAGTGATATTCAGTAAAAAACTATGATCCCTCAGAGCTCTCTCTCTCTCTGTATTATAAGTCTGCTAGGGGAGACTTCTTTTTGTTAATTTTTTATGTGACCTGATTTAGCTACCATTAATTCTGATGCTGCTAGATTTAATTGGAGTGTTTCGAGTGTGTGTGTGTGTGTGTGTGTGTGTGTGTGTGTGTGTGTGCATAAACAAGACAGTGAGGGTGAGAGATGAAAAGAGAGAGAACCAACATGAGATTTCAACAGTCGTTAAGCAAATGAATCCTAAGAGAGGGTCACATTCAGCAGCTGTCTTATTCTTTAAAAAAAGATATACACATTAATGGAGGGAGGGAGAGATGGAAAGAGAGAGTGAGAGAGGGGTTGGGCACAATTGGGACAGTTCCCTCCTTCCCAGCAGGGGAGTGTTTGAAAGAAAGGAGTGAATGATAAGAGAGACTGAAGGAGAGAGAGAGAGAGAGAGAGAGAGAGAGAGAGAGAGAGAGAGAGAGAGAGAGAGAGAGAGAGAGAGAGAGAGAGAGAGAGAGAGAGAGATCATAAAGAGTTAAAAGATGCAGAGAGAAGCAGAAGGAAAGACAATAACAGAGTGAACAAAACAGAGAGAACGGAAAAGACAAATAGAAATGCCAGCAATATTATAAACACAGAAGACAGACCAAGAGAGGATTTTGCTGCAACACTGACCTGAGCAGGATCAAATTACACTGCACTGCACTGCACTACACACACACACACACACACACACACACACGAGGTGTTTTATGCTGACATCAGGTAGACACCATTTGTGTGTGTGTTATTTCTGAGCAGAGGACGCAGAGTGTGTGTGTGTGTTTACTCCTTGCTAGAGTCACATAGTGTGTGTGTGTGTGTGTGTGTCAGACAGTCATGAGGATGCTGGCTCTCTTCTGTTTAATTTCACTGGCGGCACCTCTAACGGACGCATGGAGACCATCTAAACCACGACTGCACTTCCAACACTCAGGTGAGGCAACCGACTTTCTATTGACTTTTCAATCTACTAACCTTTACACAAACCTTTCTGCATTTAACATTGCAATCCAGACATTATATGTTCATTTTCAACCACAATATAGATGATATATAATAGATTTCAAATCATTAACAAAGCTTAGGTCATTTAACATATAGTACCACATTACCACATAATTCTGTTGGTCTGGATATTTCATAGTGCAACACTAAGGTGAGACAACAGACTTTCCATTGACTTCTGATGCTTTTCTATTGAGCAGTTGGTATTTTATTTTTTAACTCTTAAAGGGATAGTTCACCCAAAAATGTAAATTCTGTCTTCATTTACTCACCCTCAAGTTGTTCCAAACCTATATGAATTTATCTTTTCTGCTGAACAAAAAAAAAGATATTTTGAAGAATGTCAATAACCAAACAGTTGATGGATCCCATTAACTTCCATAGTGGGGAAAAAAATACTGTTGAAGTCAACGGGGCCCATCATAGGGTCATTCATCATATGCCCTATGCGGCACCACAGTTCCATTATGAATATGTTCTATTGGTCTGGTCTGCTTTTCCCAAAAGCATCGTAAGCTTAAGTTGATCGTAGAACAATTACCACCAATGGTGTCTACGATCAACTTATAGGCTTACGATGCTTTTGGGAAACGCAGCCCTGCATAGTGCAGACAACTGACCTTCTATTGAGCAGTTGGTATTCCCTAACCCAAACACAAACCTCTCTGCATGTAACATTCTAATCCAGACATTATTTGTATGTTCATTAAGCTATTTTCTTTCCACAATGTATATATGATTTTAGGTTTTACTATTCTTGTGGACTCGCATACACAAAAATGTTTAGTCTTTCTTTGCTCCACACACAAACTCTTTCTCTCTTTTTTAACCCATTACCCTAATGCCATCTGTAATCAGCCATGGTTTGACAGGAGTATATCATGTGTGACATTGTGTAGACTAAAACTGTCTGTGCGTTTCTCCATGACCTAGAAAACCCTGCACAGATAGCTATTAATCCGTCACACCTTTCTGCCTATCAGGGACAAACAAAAGTGTATGTGGGACAAAACATTGTGTGTGTGATTTGTGTATAAAGTGTTTGAGTTTAGAAATTTCTTGGAGTAATACATATCCTAATTCATCCGTGTGTCGTGTGTGTGTGTGTGTGTGTGTTTTCTTAATTACCCAATTAGCCTTTCATTCACGCAGACTCTCAAAGGGTATGAACATAAGTGTGTGTTTGTGTTAGGGAACGTCTGGTGGTTGATTATTATACAGCTCATTTTGGCTTGATTTCCCTGATGAGATGATAAATGACAGCTCTTGAGTAGCGCACACATACAAACAACAATTTTGTGGGATTGCATAAGTGAAATCACATATCTAGTAATATATAGTCAGAAAATCCTTCAGTTCAGCAATATAAAATCTATTTTCCATCTGGTCTGTTATGATTGGTCAATTTGCAGTTGATTGGCCTTCAGTAGATGTGATTGATTGAACATGAGCATAAATCAATTAGCTAAGCTCTGGAAGTATGTGTGTGTGTGCATTTGAGTGCTATAATTATGATGTATACTATTTTTCTCAGATCAAGGGTCAAGGTTAGTAGGTCTGACTGACAGAGATTTGAGAAATACCAGAACACAGCAATGTGTGTTCACCAGTTTATTTTAACTGTGTGTTTATGCATGAACCCTGCTGAGCCTTGTGTTCCCCAGTCACAGACCTATAGTCGCACGACTCGCACCTGTTAACATTTCCACCACACACATATAAACATGCCAGCTGGTGGACTGAGCAGTAATAGCTGATAACTCAATTTGCACAAGAAGTATGTTCTGTTTGTTCTTGTCCACCAGTAGCACTATGGGAAAAGATGTGCTCAAGGAAACACACCCTAACTTTCATTCACACTTGCAGTAAAGTGTATGCTTGTGAGCAGGTTTTTTAAAACAAATTTCCCAATTCGATTCCGATTCACAAACTCTTGTTTGGATTCCCATTCAAATTGACTGTAATGAACTCTGTTTGCATCATTGAATCATTTACAGTACTGTAAATCTGCTAGAAACAATCTGTATTAATAAAGGTGACATGACTTGACAAGCTTTCTAATCGATTTAGGTTTCATTGTGATTCATATTTCAGAATATTCATTTATAATGTCCATTTTGCTTAGAAAGGAATCTCTCTCTGCTAATGCTGTAAAGAGCTTGGTTTTATTTATCTTTCATCATCATGTTGTGTTAAACATCTTACTTTTAAAGAACTCAGATGACAAAGCAAAGGGTTGGATCCCATCTCTCATTGTTCACCCTCCTCATTGTTCAGTGAAATCTGAAAGACCTGAAACACAAGAATTTCGATGGGAGCCCTTAGATGTCAGGATCCAAATAAGTAGTTGTTATCAATTAAGGTGCAAAACCCTGTTCTACAGAAATAGTATTATCTATATACTATTTATTAATATTAATATTTTTTGTTATAGTTAAAGTTTTAGTCATTTTGTTATGTTGTTTTATCACATTTAGCCTATTGGCCCTTTCCACAGTAATCAACATCGCAAATAAAGTTTTTAATATTTTAATTAAACAAAATCAATATACATTTATAATGGTATACTTTTTGTTATATTACCTTGGCAGTAAATGACCAAAAAAATTAATAACGCTGGTGCGAGGGACGTGTTTCTAATACAACAACGGCTGAGGGAGTTACCGCAAATTTGGCATCTTTCTCTCTTCTGACTACTGTAATCAATCTTTTGATAATTTTTCCCTCTTTTGGAAAGTCGTGAAAACGCTATCATGGATTTTTTTTCTTTTGCTTTTAGAGAAAATGCAAATACAAAAATTATATTTGCTGTCATCTCCCATTCACTGCAATAGAAGTTTACCCAGCAATGAGGACTTCCACTTCTGAGAACCTGCGAAAAGGGTCCTTTTTTCAGCTTTCATTTACATTTATTAAAGTTTTATTTTAATACTTCAGCTTAAACTTATTTATTTCAGTTGCCAATGTTTGTTTTTGTAAATTTAAGTTTTTCATCTGATATTTATAAATTATTTTATTTTAGCTTTATTTCAATTAACGAAAATTTTAATAGTTATAGTTTTAGTTAACAATAACAATGCAATACGGATTCAAACAGGCAACTCTTTATTAAAAGAACAGACTCAAAAGAAAGAGTCAGTTGTTCATGAATCGGACAACACAGTTGCGTTGTATGGTTGTATGTTAGTTTTTGCGTGCAGTCCGCGATTTAATGGTAGGCCTACAGTCTTTTTATTTTATCACATTGAATACAGACTGTACACTCACATTCACAATTTAGGTAGCCTACCCTTTCATTTCTTTTTGCTGACATCTACAATAGAATATGGCGCTGTAAAAAACACATTAGGCAGACACTGAAAATAGGCATAAAGTAAAATATTGATCTTAGAATTTTAATTGATATCGGGATTGTTCAAAGGAAGATCACGATTAATTGTAAAAACAATTTTTTTAGTTTTGAAATATTGTTGGGTTGGGTTTGTGCTCGTGTGCATCGATGTAGTAGGCATCTATGTTTCTTAGCTGTATCACACGGCACACATTTGTACTAATCGAGTAATCCAACATCAGTCTCCCTCATGACTGAGGTAATCTAAGGTTCAGATATAGCCTACACTTACAGCTTGTGTGTGGTTAAATATACAACACTAGGTCTCTATGTGGCTAAATATACCCTCAGCTGGTCATAGAGTGATGGACAGAAAGGGTTTGTGACTCACTTTGTGTTCATATCTGTGTGTGTGTGTGTGTGTGTGTGTGTGTAAAGGAGTAAAATGACAGTTGTAGTTGTACTAATGGTATAAGACCATCAGAATGTCTCACTGTTTGTCTAATTTAGTTTATGACTAAAAAGGTCACGAGTCAAACTAAGACTAGGGATTTCTAGACCACCTAGTCATGAAAACTCACTTCCTGTTAAACACACAGGAGACAGGTGCACACCATCCCATAATCCACCTGAGTGATTTTAGCACACACATACACACACCCTTGTTGCCACAGCAACTGCCCCCAAGAAAGGGGACAACGAGTAGGACTGGTGCCACTGAGAAAAAGCCAGGAATGTGTGTGAGGTTGCAGGCTGTGACAGATTGTGTGCATGTCCCTCGTGAACAGCTGAATTTTTTTTAGTGTTTGTGTGGGTGAGAGAATATTTTAAAGGAGTGATGAACATGCAAGCCTATAGAAAAACCAACATGATATGTGTGTGTTTGTATGTTATTTTTGAGCGACTCGATTTTTGGTGAAGCCTATTAAGATAAGATATTATCTGACACACTCTTACTGTAAATTCATTTCCCATTATTCTCTGGCATATTTTCAATCTTTTTATCTATTCTATTCATCTCATGGGTTATTTTATCTCTCTGTCTCATCAGCTGTTCAGATTTTTGAACAGGTTATTCTGGCCAAAGGTGAGTCTGTCTGGTCCACATATGTTTATATCATAGACCGTAAAAGAAATGGACACAGCGACCCCATAGACTTCAATGGAGAAAAGTGAAGTCTATTAGAAGCACTCACTTCCTGATTGCCAAGCGTACTGCGCAGGCTCAAACTGAGCTTGATGACGTAGATGTGACGTGAGCAACCTGTACGTCTTCTAGTAGCTGTGCCAAGAGGAATCTGAATCATTCCCTTCCGAATCTCACAGACACGGAGATTGTGAGTATTAGCTGTCCATGAGCTAGCACCAGGAGCAACTTTACAACTCTCTATGGGCTTCTCCCTTGACTTTATGCCTCCACGTCCCCCCGATTGCACGCGAGCTTCTACTTCTGTCTGTACGGTAATTTCTCTACTGTGCGACAGAGAGTCGCGTGTTATGACGCAATCGTTAGCCTATTTTTACAAATACTGCTTCTACGGGGCCATAAAGTAAGATACAAGGTAATGGAGCCTTTTATACATTGTCGTGTTTCTTTA